GGTGGACCCAAAAATGGTTCTTCTATGGCATCGCTTGAAGAACCTTTTGAAGCACCTTTATTTTGAAGAGTGTAGGCTATATCTATTAAACAGCCATACGGGCATCTAGTGGTTAAACCATGGCATTACATAGGAATATTATTTTTCTGTCCACCAAATGTCTCTAATTTACCTCTTTGCACTGGAATTTAAAAAAGGTTTCTCTATTTTAAACCTACGAAATACTACGCTAACTGTAATATAAATAATAAGCATATTAGTTAATGCTGTATGCTGTCTCTTCATCACTCCCCAGAATAAAATGCGATTGTAAAATGTAGTCAGCGTAGTACACAATCAAAACCACGTGACCGCGTGACTCGCAACTCTGTTTCTCAACAGCTCTGGGGCAGAGTATCCTTAACCACGCCCCTCCAACCGGAGTTTGCTGCGAGCGAGAGGTGGAGAGGAGGTGCTTAAATAAATCCCCGCCCCCTCTATTTAATATTCAGTTTCAGTCGTAAATACATCATAATACTGAAGTAAAGTCAGGGCATTTCTAGTCAAATTAACACATTTTCCAAGTGGATAATATAACCTTAAACCTATGAAAATGGTTTTAAAAAACATGGCACCATAGTTTCATCACTTTACAGTGTTGCAATGACCGTCTTTTTGCAGTAACTCACTTGTCATAGGGTGCGTCTCAATCAGCTCCCTTGTTCAGTAGTCAGGGCACTGATCAGGGAGTCGGCCATTTTAAGGGCTGTCTCAATCGCGAAATCTTTCCAGTGCACTGGAACGTTCGCTCCCTGAAAAATCCCACAATGCACCGCAAAAACTAGGTAGCATCGGCGCTCACTATGCTCCCTTACCGGAAATAACATCACATTTCTGAAGCGTGAAACATAAACCACACAAGTAAACTCGATAAATATAATGACGCGTGATAGAAGATTTAAAAAGACAAACCGTTTTTAGTACATTTCAACATAAACACATCGCTAGACAGGAAATGAACACATCTAATTAACATTTATAATTAATATTCGGCTGAAATGTTGTAAGAACACGTAATAGAACGATGTGTTTAAAGAGAATAAAAAATAATATAAAAATTTGATTGGTCCTGCCTGTTGTTTATTAATTCCAGTGATGACGTTCTACAATGTTGTCCGTTGACGCTGCACGTAATCATGTCACTGGAATTCGAGTAATCACTGTCCCAATGTGCAGTGAGTCAGGGAACTTACCAGTGCCCGAATTCGTGTACACGATCTATTGATTCACGAGTTCGGGAGCTAGGGAGCTGATTGAGACGCACCCAGAGTTTAATGAGTGGGTAGATGACATCATTCTACATCACTGCAGAAGTACCGACCCAGTGTTTACAAAGTGAACATGCAAAGAAGATCAAATGCCCTTTACAAAAAAAAACCGCAAAACAGCGATGTAGGACGATTTTGAAGTTGGAGGAGAAAATGAGATGGAAGTTTTTCGACATACCCTAACTGTCATGAACCAGAAAAAAACACAGAGCTAGACAAAATGAGCATTTGAGGTTAAAAAGTATATAAATTGTAATTTTTTTATATTATAAATATAATTTTTTAAATTTATAAATTTTTATTTTTATTTTTTTTTAAATAACCGATCGTTTCGCTAGATAAGACCCTTCTTCCTCGGCTGGGATCATTTAGAGACCTTTGAAGCTGCATTTAAACTGCATTTTGTAAGTTCAAACTCAGGGGTACCATAGAAGTCCATTATATGGAGAGAAATCCTGAAATGTTTTGATCAAAAAACAATTTCTTTATGACTGAAGAAAGAAAGACATGAACATCTTGGATGACAAGGGGGTGAGTACATTATCTGTAAATTTTTGTTCTGGAAGTGAACTACTCCTTTAAAGGCATCAGGACTTGGGCCAGGCTCGTCCATATTGCGGAGAAGCTTGGCCTGAAACCCTTGTAGCATTGCCATCGTGTGAAGCGCTGAGCCAGCCTGGCCAGCTGCTGAAGAAGCTTTATTTGCTAGCGTGGAGGTCGTCTTGCAGGATTTAGATGGATGCGCTGCATGGGTTTTTACCCCCAGGGCCGATGGAGGGCACAGATGCACAGCGGGGACAGATGCTTCCAGAGGGGAAGGCTTGCCATATCCTCTTTCTTCAGCGCTGTCAACAGTGATGAGATCAGCAGAAGTGGAGGAGTTAACGCATTGAATAGAGTGGTGTGCCACGTCCTGGTGAGTTCACTGTGAACTTCCGGGAAGAATGGGGCAAGCCGCCGGCGAGAGGAACGTTGACGGCATCCTTCCAGGAACCACTCATCTAAAAGGCTGCAGGCAGGCTCTTCCGGAGCCGACCAAGCTTGGCCGAGATCCTCTACAGCCTTGGTGAGCTTATAAGCTCTATCAGCTTGCTGTCCATGTGGGCTGTGTTGGTTGAAATGAAGGGAGGGTGTCAGGATCTTCGCCTGAACACGCCCACTCCTCTGTGTCAGAAGCTGTCAATGAGAGTCATTGATCCTCACATGTGAAGCACACAGGCAAATCGAAGCGTCGCGGGTAGAGTGAAGCACGCGGGCCGGCATGAGTTCAGTCGAGCCCGATGGAACCCCACTGCACCTCTGTTTCTTCCTCCGAAGGCTCCTGTTGAAAGAAAGGAGATCCACGAGCAAAGCAGGGAGAGACTCATGCTCTCGCAGTGAGAGCATTCAGTCCCAATGAGCGCAGTCTCAGCATGGGCGCTGCCCAGGTAAGTGACGCACTCACTGTACCCGTCTGTGTCATGCAGAGGTTCCCTGCATGAGCCACACTCGCGGCGTGACATTTGCAACAACGTCACAGTGAAATTTGCTCCGAAGATTTGCTCTTTTTAATCCACCGGATGGCCGCAGGGGAAGGCTTGCTCTGCGATATTTCCACTGCCAGGGGCTCTTCTATGGCGAGCAGCAGGCTGATCTTCTTGCTTTGGCTTCTTTCTTCAGAGTCCAGCGAGGAGATGATCTTCGTCACTGAAGGAGAAAAATTCAGAAAAATAGCACTCTGAGCCTACTTATATAGCAGTCGGCTCCTTACCTTTTGGCGGGTTGAAGCGCCATTTGTTCATGCAGCTACACGAACATGAACAAATCAGACTTCAGCATCAGAGTAAACAGGAGTTTCCCCATAAGCGTGTTAAACGCAACGGGAGAGACCGTTCGATAGGGAACAATCAGTTCATAAATGTAAACACATAAAAATGTGTGAGGACACTTGTGCATTTATTTATGGTGTATTTTTTGTATGTAAATCTGGTCACACATGTGAACAATAATTCATAAGTATATTAATTTTATTTTCTGAACGTGAAATTTTTTTTATTGTCCTCATTTGTAAGTCGCTTTGGATAAAAGCATCTGGTAAATGACTAAATGTAAATGAACATGGTGTTATTATTATTATTATTTTTATTTTTTCGGGATGTGCACACCTGAAGAAATAAAATCCAGAAATGGTTCTGGATTCTGCTGGCCCAATGTAACCTGTTTGCCCAGGACCAGTGAGTGATGTATAGCACATTTACCTGATGATATTCCACCAGTTCAGTGAGCGAGCTGAATCTGATCTGGTCTCCCAGCAGCATGTAGCAGTTCTCTGAAGCATCAATCAGCAGGTGCTTGATTCCCTCACTGGATCGGTAGGAAAGCACATATCCAAAGATCCTCTCGCTAACACGCACCAGGAAGTCCCCAGGCTCGCCCTCCTTCAATAGCACCTCTGCCTGTTCACGAGATATTATACCTGCAGGTAGCATGAGATTATGTGAATGATGGGAAATCCAGCAGCATTGTGTGTAACGTCTAGTAGTTTATACTGTAAGTTAAATGAATGAATATAGTCTGTGTTTATTTCTCACCGTGAAACCAGGATGCGATTCGGCTCTGGTCGCGCTGGAATCCTGCTCTGAGCGGCAACTGTTCCTCCTTGAACCAGCGAATAATATGGTCTCGGCTAGACGTTGACAGTGAGCGCCGCATACCACCCTTCCTGCCAGTCAGAACACGAGACGTTTAATTCGCTCATATCTTATTCAAATCCTGGATCATCAACCACCATACAGCACAACCCCATACTGAGACATCTTTTAATGTATGTAACAGGAGGATGTAAATCTTAAAAACTGACAGTGTCTTTGCACAACAGATGATGTGTTGAGGGGAATTCCTTGTCAAAACACGTAACTGCACAAACAGTCTGCAGTACGACATTCCTGAGATGAATCAGACGCCTGAATGAAAAGATGTGACATACAGCTGCGATCAATATATCACTATTAATAGCACTATTAAGAGAGACAGGTGACATTCCAGTTTTCCCAGAATCAAGGTCTCTGCATAACTTTCTGATTACTGACTATTAGATTACTAATTACTGATAAATAGATTATATTATACAGACTGTTATATTTACATCAAATTTAAAGGTGGGTGAAAAAATATGGCAAAGTACAATATTTTACATCTCAATACAGTTATCAGTATTCTCACGTTAAGATCAATATTTGAGTTGCATGCATATTTTTGTGAAAAAGCAGGTTAACCAGCATTCAGAGCAAACCTGAATAATGAACATATTGCTGCAATCGTTCCCCAATAAATCAAACTCAATTTCTGTTCCACTAAAATTCAAACTTAGAACAATTTACCACAGTTTCAAATGAATACGCTACTGGTAATATTTGTTATTTTATTGATTGATTGATTGAAAGAAATTAATGCTTTTATTTGCAAAGGACACATTAAATTAATCAAAGGTGACAGTAAAGACATTTATAATGTTACAAAAGATTTGAATTTCAAATAAATGTTGCTCTATTGAACTTTCTATTCATCAAAAAATCAATATTTGAGTTGCATGCATATTTTTGTGAAAAAGCAGGTTAACCAGCATTCAGAGCAAACCTGAATAATGAACCTATTGCTGCAATCGTTCCCCAATAAATCAAACTCAATTTCTGTTCCACTAAAATTCAAACTTAGAACAATTTACCACAGTTTCAAATGAATACGCTACTGGTAATATTTGTTATTTTATTGATTGATTGATTGAAAGAAATTAATGCTTTTATTTGCAAAGGACACATTCAATTAATCAAAGGTGACAGTAAAGACATTTATAATGTTACAAAAGATTTGAATTTCAAATAAATGTTGTTCTATTGAACTTTCTATTCATCAAAAAAATCCTGTTTTTAAATGTTTTTACTATTTTTTGATCAAATAAATGCAGCCTTGGTAGCTTAAAAATATTCAAAGAAGATCTTAGGGACCTCACACTGTTGAATGATGGTGTCAATACTAAATATAAAGAATTGCTGCTACATCACATCTTGACCCGGATAATGCCATATTGACGGGTCTCTGCTCATTGGTTTAATAGACTGTGTTTACATGCACATGAATGTAAACCAAAATTCAATGTTTTTTTTGTTTTGTTTTTAAATCTGAATAAGACAACTAACAATCTAAATTATATGTAATTTAGAAACCTTATTCACAACATGCACAACATGTCCAAATGAAAAGAAAATTATTTTTGGAGTGAAGAGGACGTTTCCATACAAACGTTAAAGGAAATTAACATATATTGATATACAGATGGCTGAGAGCACCATAAGAGTCCCATGACCTACATTTGGCCTTTGATGGCACCTTCTGTGTGCTGTTAGCAAGAACATGAATGAGCACGAGTCAGGTTCAATTACTGTCCATAATTAGAACAAAAGTGGAAAAAAAAGATGTCAAGAGCAAGCCTTTCCAGTATTTCCACATGAGAGTAGCAGGAAAAGAAGAAGCTGTTCATAGAATATGCTGATTACATCAATACAGGAATATTCCAGTAGCAGGGAAGCATGGAAACTTCTTCAGAATAAAGGCTTACTCATATTTTTTTTGGTAAATGATGTGCATGTAAATGTGGCCATTATGATTGATTATGATCTTTCAAACCACCAGCCCTTCTGTTTCATCACTTCTTTATTATTCAGTTACTGCCACTGGCTCTGATGAGAAGCATATCACACGACTCACCGACTGATAGCATCATATTTTTTTTGGTAAATGATGTGCATGTAAATGTGGCCATTATGATTGATTATGATCTTTCAAACCACCAGCCCTTCTGTTTCATCACTTCTTTATTATTCAGTTACTGCCACTGAAGAATGAGATGGGAAGCAGATGAGAAGCATATCACATGACTCACCGACTGATAGCACTGCTGCTGTTTCTGGGTTTGGGTTTGGGTGGAGTGGTTAAATCGGTGCTGCCGAAGGCCTTTGTCATGGCCTCTACACGTCCTCTTTCCAGAGCTTTAACTGAGCGCCTGCGGTGGTCCTCGATAGTCTGCTTGGCTAGAGATCGTCTGCGCGTGTCTGCAGCTTTTGACTTCTGCACTGGAACCACATATGCAAAATCACACCGGTTATTCCTTTTATTTATGCATGACTGAAAAAATAACCACAAACAGAACCACAGAGAACAAAACATCCTTTCTCAGACAAGAACTGTCATGTGGCCGTTAAACCCCAAATAACAAGTTTCTTTGTGTAATTCTCAATATTCTGAGCGATGATTTTCAGTATTATTAGTGTATTAGGTCACACTTTATTTTTAAGGTTCAGTTCTCACTATTAACTAACTATTAGCTATGAATTTTGCCTCAATAAACTCCTAATTTGCTGCTTAATAGTTAGTAAAGTAGTTGTGAAGTTTAGGTATGGGTCGGATTAAGGGATTCGTGCAGAATAAGGCATTAATATGCGCTTTATAATAAACGGCCAATAAGCTAGTAATATGCATGCTAGTTAAGAGTGAGAACAGGTCCTTAAAATAAAGTGTTACCCAATAGTATATTAATATTTAAGATTTAGTGTATGCATAATTTCAGTTTAAAGTTTTATGCTAATTTGTTTTTTTTAATACTGTGATACAATAGAACATGTTACTGTATTACAGTAAAGAGCATTTAAAAAGCATTGGCAATTATTCTCAAAATAATCTCAAAAGTATTTTGGGTGGGTGATATGTACAGTAACTTTCTGCCTTAAGAACATGTTTCTGTGAGATTCACTCTATTTCCCATAAACACTGTAGATGCATATCATAAACAGTTCTTAAGTTGTAATTAGTAATTGTTGTGTAGATTGTATGGTTTTCTTTACATGTCTTCTGCCACTCCTTGTCCTGCTCGTCACGAGTGTGTTTACTGCCCTGCACCTCCTTCAGGCTGATGTAAATCTGCTGTTTCCTCTCCTGCTCCAGCCTCCTCAGCTCCTCCTCAGCCTTACGCCTCTCCTCCAACTCCAGTTTCTGACAAACAAAGGCCTCCAGGTCAGGACAGACCCAGAAGATTTGCTTCTTCATTTGTTTAAAGCAAAAGGGTTTGTGTTTGTGTGGCAGCAGTACCTTGAGTTCCTCCTCCGCTCTCCTCTGCTCCTTCTGCTGGACCTCCTGCTCTGACAACACAACCTGCTCCGGTTCGAGATACAGTCCAGAAAAGCGCTTCTCCAGCTCAGCCTCTTTCTTAGCCCTGTACATTTAGAAGTGAAAAGAACACTTGCATAGGTTATTAGAGTTTTTGGCGGTCATTAATGATTCACAGAACTGAACAGGAAATAGTTGCTATGAGGGGAGACCAGGAATGTCAACGAGAACACTCATAACAATAAGAGGTAAATTCCTTCAAGACGTAAGAGAAAAAAGAAATGCCTTGTGCTTACTGTCTAGTACATACTCTTTAAAAAAGGTATGTGAAAAGAAGCCAGACAAGCTTTTTTTCCCCATGATGTATTTTTTATGATATGAAATTCAGGTCGCTATTACATTTACATTTAGTCATTTAGCAGATGCTTTTATCCAAAGCGACTTACAAATGAGGACAATAAAAGCAGTCAAAACTAACAAAAGAGCAACAATGTATAAGTGCAAATGACAAGTCTCGGTTAGCCTAACACAGTACACGTAGCAAGGTATATATACAGTATATATATATATTATACACACACATAAACACACACGAAAAGAAAAACAAGTAGATAGAATAGAAAAATAGAAAAAAAAAGATAAATATAGATAAAGTAGAATTAAAATAGAATAGAAAGTGCTAGAGTTAGAGGGTTAAATAAAGGTGGAACAGATGTGTTTTTAGTCGTTTCTTGAAGATGGCTAAGGACTCAGCTGCTCGGATTTAAGCTGGTATTTCATTTTGTGGTAGTTTAATTTTGCACATAATAAACAGTTACGGTCAGTTACTGTCATGACTTATATTACACAGAAGTCTCTTCAGTTTAACTCTGCACTTGGACGTTTGGCCTTTAGTTCAGTGCAGTTATCTGCAACACATATTGCATCATGGAAATACCTGCCATTTGGTTTGTTTGCACTGATATACACCCAAGCAGGCACTGATTATTATAATTTTACATAAGAAATGCCTATAAAACCAGAAACAAATATTCATTTTAACTTCAGTCCAGCAGTCCCATTGGAAAGAGCAAGTGCATGAGGAGGAAGTGGCATCAGCAGGAGCACAGTATCAGCACACAAACCCTGTGATGACAACATCCCATCAAACTGGTGAAATATTTAACTAGTGTTGACCGAGTGGATTACTTTGTAGTTTATGCCAAGCAATACATTTTCAGAGTTAAAGAACAATTATAATAGAATAGAAATGTAATAGAATATAATAGAAATGTTGCCTTAACCTTCAAGTTGAAGCACTAAAATTACCAACTGGAAAGAAAAAAATGAACTAAACTGAACTTGGGGAAAAAAAACTAAATAGTAATATTAAAATAATAATAATAAAATATTTAGTGCCTCGCACACCTGAATCAATCATGGGTGCGTTGGATTTTAATGAGCAACGTTTCGATCAAAATTTCTGTGATGATGCAAACTTGAGTGGTGTGCGGGACTAATAAAAATGACAAAATTAGTAAAAGTTAAATTGAAAATATTCAGAATATAATACTGATGTTCAATGATGATTCTCCTTAGATTCTCATGATACTTTTTCAGTATTAAATTAAAAACATACTATAATACACTGAATTTTTCGTTTAAATCTGCATTAAAGGCAGTGCAATAAATAATAACATTATGTATAGCTACTTTATAACTTAAATAATATATAATTGAGATTGCATTACATTAAAGAAAGTTGTGAGTATGACTGGTGCTGTTTTACCGGAGCTTCTCGGCCTCTCTCTGGGCCTGCAGTGCTGCTCTCTCAGCCATGATCTCGTCACAGATCTGATCGTAGGGTTTGTCACCAGGATGTTCTCCCATCACCCAAACCCACACGTCATCATCTAGACCCTTTATCCACGACACAGTCTTTCCTGAAACTGCACAACATTCACAATGATGACAATGGTTTTGTGGCACTGAATAAAACGAATCTGCCCATGCCTAATAAATATCTAAGAGTAGATTTCTATAGCACAAAGCAAAGCTGTCTCTCTTTGTATCTTTGACTTTTTTTGACCAAAATCACAAATGAGATCGCTTTAAGTCAACATGAATTGTTGGTCGCAACCCATTTTACTTCCATAATAGTACATATTTTTGGGAAACGGAATATTTTTGAAGAAAAAAATGTAGGATAGGACTTGATTATACTGATTGGGAATTGACTGAATAAAAAAGACTGAATAAGACACTGAATGCCTACTATTTAACATTATACAATAGGAACAAGCTATTATAATTTGTGACCCTGGAGCACAAAAGCAGTCTTAAGTCGCTGGGGTATATTTGTAGCAATAGCCAACAATACACTGTATGGGTCAAAATTATAGATTTTTCTTTTATGCCAAAAATCATTAGGATATTAAGTAAAAATCATGTTCCATGAAGATATTTTGTACATTTCCTACCATAAATATATCAAAACTTAATTTTTGATTAGTAATATGCATTGCTAAGATCCTAACAAACCATACATCAATGGAAAGCTTATTTATTCAGCTTTCAGCTGATGCATAAATCTCAATTTCAGAAAATTGACCCTTATGACTGGTTTTGTGCTCCAGGGTCACATATATCAAAGGAGGAGGTTTCAGAAGAGGAACATGCTACTATATTTTGACATTTCTGTTCTTTGGAATAACTTCATCAACAAAACATTAATAAAGACCATAAATGTGTGTATACAACATAAATATCATCAATTCTGATTTTCCACGACATTCTAATTTATTGAGATGCACCTGCACTATAGTAACAATCATTTCTTCAGGACAGATTTACCATCTTTATAAAATTCTTGTTTAATGAAGTACAAGCTTAGTGAAATTCAGTAATCCATACATTTCTGGTAATATTTATGACAGACCCTCTGCCCAGTATATTCACATCTTAATGACAGTGAAGATTAAAAACCTTTTTTGACTTTAACACGTGCAGCTTCCTCCTTCTCCAGCTGCGTCTCTCTCTCTCTCCATCTCCGGATCTGTTCTTCTCTCATCTTAAAGAACAGAATCTGTTTCTGTTCCTCATTCAGCTCGGCCAGCAGCTCCGGCTGGATGTACATGTCAACCAATATCTGCTGCAGCATCTTCAGGCCTCAGGAACAGAGCTCAAACACCTTCAGCTCAACGCAATGCCCCTCTCTGTTTCTGTGGGTTTGGACTTTGTGAAAACAGAACTGTTTAATAACACAAAAGAAGATATTTTTGGTTTGGTTCCCATTGACTTGCATTAGTATGGACCAAAAACAACAACAGCAAAAACAGACATTTCTCAAAATATCTTCTTTTATGCTCCACAGAAGAAAGCAAATCATAATGACGGCGATTTTTTTTTATTAATTTATTTTTTATTTATTTTTTTTAATAAATGTCAAATCTATTCATGTGTCATTTATTATTACTCTATTTATTTTTCCTTGACTAAAAAAAAACCCTTAACACCATAGTAGTTATTAAAGTATAGAATAACACATTTACTGACTGTCACATATTTGAAAGAAATCTGATGTCAGTACAGTCAATATACAAATGTAAACAAGGAACAGGAAGCAGGAAAAACCCCGTCTATCAATCACCCATCACACACACACACACACACACACACACACACTTACCGCTGGAAGTAAAGGCTTCACACACTCATTTCTCTTTCTGTTAGAACACCTGAGTGAACACCTGAACCCTGTCCAGAAAGGTAAATGTCGAGTGAAATCTGTGGTCATGTACACACCCTTAAATTCTTCCAGCCCAAACTGAGTTCCCTCCTCCTACACTGGCTCTTCCTCCGGCTCCGGCTCTGTGTGAAAGACTCTTTCAGCTGCACGAGAGCCGCTTTATATGCGCGTGTAATAGTATTAACGTTAGACCTGCGCGGAATACTTCATGCTGAAAATACTTTGTCTAATCTGACCCTGAAATTCTGAAACATTAAGCTAAGAAAAAAGCAAAAGAGGATAAAATAAATAAATTGTGCGCGGCCTGTGTGTGTGTGTGTGTGTGTGATTACAGCATCGATTAACAGACTCAGACTTGAAGTGTCTTGATTTGTGCAAGTTATGACAAACAACGTGCACTAGGTGGCGCACTTGTTATAAACCCCCACCGAAACTGCACATGGGTTCATATTTCTTGCTGTGTGCCCTAAGAGGTGCAATTTCTGAAAATTAGGCCATTTTCTAACTTTACCTTTCAGATAGGCCTATGCAAAGTGCTTGCATATACAGGTGACACACACACACACACACACACACACACACACAAAACAAAATCACACTGACACAAAACACTCACAAAAAATATTATTACACCAGTACATCAACTCTTCCATTGTGTTAGACTGAAACAAATTGATTAAAAAAAAAAAACTCAGCAAATATGATTAAAAGAGCTACTCGCATTGCCCTCCGACACAGTAGGCGGCGTGATTTAGCTGTGCTCATTTCTTAGGGGCTGATGAAGCCAAGCCTTCAATAAATTTAGCTGTTATTACAACGAGAAACAGTCCAAAATGTAAGTGTTTGTGAAGTTCACATCAAATAAAGCAAAAAATCTGTTGTTTTTATATTAGTAGTCAAATAAAATGTCAATTTTTCAGCTCGATATAACATATGTATTAGCATATATTTGATCTGTAACTGGTCATTATTATGTTTAAACATTTTTAAGAATATTTTCGCTTTTTTGGAATTCACTGGTCCTGTGGAGTGACAGAGGATTTATTCTTCACACACAAATATCACAGTCTATCAATAATGAACTATTTAGTCAGTTAAAGAAATTCCTTGTATGTGCAAACATACTTGGCAATAAAGCTCTTTCTAAATGTTTTTATCAAAAGTTTTGTTCAAGTTATTATTTACAAAAATTTCCACAAGCTGGCAATTATATAGGCTACAGCTTTACATGCAATTCATGTTTTAGTCATTTTGCAATTTTGAACAAAAAACTGTGAGCAAGCTTGAAAACTTGACAAAGCAGCAGAATTTGCAACAACAATGTAGAATACATCACTGAAAATAAAAGTTTGTATGGCATTAAAACACATATACAAGATCAACGAATGCAAACATTTCAGTGACAATGCAGCGGGTCTAAAAAAAGTAAATAAAAAAAACTGGAAGCAACCTTTAAAAATCTACCTTACATGATTATTTTTTCTGTAGATAACGTGTGGTGATTAATTCGATTTTTTTTTCTTGTTAATATGCTATTTTTGGTGTTATCACGTTAAATCTAAAGTTATGATTTGCTTGTTTATTAGGAACATTTCGCGGTTCATCCTGTGTAGGTACTAGTATCCTATAGCATATTTTGACAAAGTCTGACAGTTTAGCCACATTTGTACTTTACCCACTATTTACCACAATGATAGCATTTGTTCAGATATTTTTGAAAACACTCTAAAATAAGTTTGCAATAGTATGAGTTTTGGGGAGAAGGCATTTCCTGCTTGATGCTGGAATGGAACTCTGTAATTTATCCATGTTTATATGACGCTGTGATACTATCTCGCTGGGGCTTCATGTGGCCTTGGATGTTAGATGCATCAAGGGTGCAATTAGTAGTGATTCATGATGGTTTACATACTTGGGCCGTTTGATGTCAGCAGTGTTGGGAGGTGCAGTGTTCCAGCATGAGCCCATCTCTGGCTGATTTGTGCAGTATGAGATAGAGTTGGCTGGAGGGACAGTGAGGGGCTGATATCACAGATAAACACCTTTGTATGGATCAGGGGTGATTCACAGTACTGGACAGCACAGAGTCATTCTGAAAGCTGAATTACACTGACGTTTCATGGCTGGAGTTTCTGCTGGGAGTGCCTACAGTGCTTATGGATTACTTAAGTCTGATAAATGCAACTCCTTTAAAGCAGAGAACTGAAAATTACTGATAATATATTTAGCTGCTGTGTTGTCCTATGGCTGCATGTAAACTGTCCACTGTCTATAGCTGGGTGTTTTGAGCAGAACTAATGGACACTCGTTCACAAAAGAGTGCAGGCAATCACTGAAAATAGGTATGCACTGATCATGATTATTCATGTCCGATTCTGATTGCCGATTATTTACAAGCAAATGGGCTGATGAACTAGATGTGTATTTGCTCTATTACAGGCTAAACTGGCCTTGAATAGAAATAGGCATTTGAAATTAGAGGTAACCATGCACTGCATTTTAGACTGTTCATCATTGTGCTTATAAACACTACTTTAATAATGGAGGTAAGGTGAAAATAAAATGCCATCAAAACTTTTCTGAAGAAAAGGTCCTTTCAGAGATGCATAATGCCTGAATAAATAAAAAAACAGTTACTGACTGTGTTTTTGGAGCAAAAACCTGTCCATTTCCATTTGATGGACTTGTGCGTCTCTAATTGAAAAGGTTCTCATTTTCATGATTTAAAGCTGTTATGTGTAATTTTCAGAAGTTGGTAATTTGACTTCTCAAAGAGCATGGTGCTTTCAAATCATCAAATGTGTTTGTTTGAGTGACCCAGCATGTCAGCTTCTGCCCTTATCAGTATTGCCAAGTTTTCTAGAGTAATAACAAGCAACCTGGTTTGAAAAAACAAGCCATAAATAAGCGACCCCTGGTTTTGGGTGGTGGGGCATATGCACTTAATCCAGTCTGGCTATAGGGAACCCCCTTAAAAGGGATTTTGTTCTAAGTTCTCTGTATATTCTGCCAAAAACTTTGATTGGGTTTATTCCTTGAACGGTTATAGTCCCATTCAGAAAGTCCTATCACTACCCCGGCACGTTATTGAAGGACCTAATGCACTGAATTAAAATAGTGATTTTTGTTTTCTTCAAAATTATAAGAAACATAAACTTAAGCCACTTAACTCAGCACAAATAACATCAACATTTGGGTGGGAAAGGGGAGCGCGGTTGCCTCTATGAAACAGAGCATTGATTGCTATGGCATTGACAGACAGCGAAACATCATCAAATACTAAATAACGATAAAGCGGTAATTTTGTCCTATAACTGCAAACCACTAATAAGCCCAAATACACAATTGTACTCTGAAAAGAATGCAAACCTGCCCAAATCTAAAAGCGACTTTGTGAAGAAACAAGCACAAATAACACAAGCATAGAAATAAGCACAAAGTCGCTTGTAATAAACAGATTTAATACAGTACACGTTTGATACAGTATTTATGAAGTCCGCTAGTTTAATTATAAAGCCATAAACATACTCACATCACTAAGTACACACTGTGCGAGTACACAAATGCTTGTCCAAAACTCAGAACTGGACTATGGATTGGGTTTTTTTTTTCTTTCCTAGCCACAGTCAATCTTGGTTTGCTCACTTGGGGTTTAAACCCTATAACCAGTATCCCAATAGTCTTGTTTCTATATGAAGTTTATGTAAGAGCAACTGTTCCATGTCACGACCCCTCAGCAGAGCACCGGGTCACATTATTGAGTTCAAGCAGAAGCGAAGTAAGGTCAAAACTGTTGACACAACTAACCGCTTTAGATCTCAGCGAGCGACTGGAAGAGACGGCAGTATCTCAGTGACTCAATGGATCGTCTGTGCGTGACCTTCGAGACCTCAATGCCAGACTCAGCTGTCCCAGACCCCCTTAAAGAATGAGTGCTTGTGTCAGAAAGTGTTTTAAACAGTGAGTGTTTGTTATTAACAGAACATGTTCATTGCACAAAGGCTGCTTATTCTTCACAGGTCAAAATAATTTTGTGCAGTTACAAAAGACATAAGTACTGTGTTCATAAGTTGGTCAGTGAGCACTGTGAGTGTCTCGGATTTAAGGCCATGACACCAACTCACATGTTGAGCATTTTTGAGCATGGTGAATTGGCAGCAGAGCCAGTCGGTGTGAGAGACCACTCTGATTGGCAGCTTATCAAACCAGTGTGCAAGAACAAATAAAATGATGAAAACAACCAAACGATGAAGTCAACACAGTGATGTTACATCTTATCTCTGATGATTTTCATTGAATCTATCTGTGGTGTAAAAATGGTAATAATGTGCAGCTTTGATTATGGTTATATATACACAGTCCTATCGCTTTCGGTTTCCTTTATTGATGAATGAATATAGACTACTGCCACCTGCTGATATGGAGAGTCATCTCCTCTCAAACAGATGCAGAATGCTAGTGTACCGTTAGCTGTAATCTTTGTGGTGTGTTCAAGCTCTAATGTTTTGCCCAGATGCAGGCGATGTGGGCAGTGTTGCGGGTAACAAGTAACGTGAGTTACGTAATCAGATTACTTTTTTAAAGTACAGTAACTAGTAAAGGAACACATTACTTTTTCATTTACAAGTAAATATTTGAGTTACTTTTTCAAATAAGTACTTCAGTTACCATGTATTGACTGACAGCTCTCCTGTCTCCATGTTGAGAGAAATCAGGAGTGAGTGCAGAGGAGTTGTGTGAACATGATGCTTTCTGTAGTTCTGGACTAAATGTGAACATGCATTTACTCTTCTCACTTGCACAGAATCAGATTCAGTATTCCTCAAAATGAATAAAAACAGTGAAATGCAAACTCAGAATATGACGCAAACCTGTAATAATTAAATGTTAATTAACACAAATATCCTTTATGTATTTAATCCCATTTCCATTTTTTTGTGCTTTATTTTCTTTTAATTGCTGAAGAGTGTTGAACTTTCTTATCTGCGTCTTTTTCTTTATGCAATCCAGAATGGCAGCACAGATGAAAGGTTTGCATTTCACTTCTGGTGTGAAAGGGCTGTTAAATTTGCCAAAAATAGAACGTTTTATATTAAAAACAA